TGTGTGTGTGTGTGTGTGTGTGTGTTGTGCAGAGTATGAAATGTTTTTAGGCAACTTTGTCATGTGTTTTATGCTAAAGTAAAACCTTGTCAGAGTGTATATTACAGTGTAGACTAAAGCCGAGCGACGACTGCTCAGGTAAGGTTCGGACGCGCCGACCTCCCGACTCGAAACTACGACTTCAGGGGGCGTTCCAGTTGAAACTATGACCTTTGAGGACAACTGGAACGTAGCATTAAAATTATATTTGTGTTAAATATAAGTCATAATGTGTTACTTTTAGTTTTGATATTGTTTTATTATCACTACTTTTATTATAGGGGTCTGTATGTTGTATTCATGATTAAATGCAGAAAAATAAACAGTTTCAAAGGTAACAGATCTTTGTAATACTTGGTTTATTTACAGAATGACTAAATACTGGATGATGAGCTGCTGACCTGCAGTAACTGTGGCCCCTGCAGCAGTTTAGTGGAATAGTTCTGGCCTCAATTAAAGAAACAGGTTCAAACAGAAGAATTAAAATAAGGAGAAAAAAAAACTAAGGAGGAACTGGGTCAAGTAGATCTGAATTTGAAAAGGAAGACTTGTTTCTGCTGGTCCTCTCTGACAAACAACACCTGCAGCTTTATGAAGTAAACATTTCATGTATTAAATGATTCATTTGTCTTTTCTTTGGCAGAAAATCCACAAGTTTCACCATCAGATGAAATGTTTTAAACTCCAGCTGCTAAAGAATCCAGATGTTTCCACAGAGTGTGAAGCTGCTGTCAGGCCAGTGCTCTGGGCTCACCATGTTGTGTTTGAGGATTCTTTGGACCACCGGAGTGAACACTTCGATCACCACCATGGACCGCGGCCGCTCCCGGCAGTGCTGCAGAGACACACACAGGTTAAACCTGGAGCTTCAGGGGGGCTTCCTGCACCGCGGGCCCCTCGCAGCTCACCTTACAGAAGAACTCGCAGAGGTCGGGGGGCGGGTGGTTGTTCTCCAACAGAGGAGCGATGGCCTGCAGGACACACAGACAGATGATTCCACCTGCCTGTTCACCTGAGGCTCAGGTGGGCTGCACAAACATCAGCTGAGCCCCGACACAACCAACACAAACACAAAGGTCCAGACTCACCACGATGATGTTCTCATGGTCCTGAGTGCCCAGGTTCAGGTTCTGCAGACACACAAACATGGTTCAGACAAACGCAAACCCAGGAAGATTTCAAAATAAAAGCTCGTTCTACGTTAAACTCCTCAAAAAGAAAATCTTGAAGGAACTGATAATTCAATAATCACACCGCTGATGGAAGAATCTCCTGGTTAATGGCCGCCAGAACCAAAACCAACCAACTGAACACTTTGACCCGGAGCTGCAGCAGACAGACGGTACCTCAGCCAGCAGGGTGGAGATGATGTGCAGAGGAGCCTGGTGGATGGAGTCGTCCTGCAGCGGAGACGTCAGAGCCATGTCCACCAGCGCCCGGATCTCCTTCAGAACCACGTCCCAGCGACTCGGGTTGTTCAGAACCTTACAGTACTTGTAGATCTTTTTCTGCAGGAGACACAGCGCGCTCGTTAACGATGCAGACTCCGTGAAAACAACGGGAAACAGCAGAGACAGCTGAGAGGACGTCCAAAAACCAGACAAATTAATGAAAACAGTCAATTTAATCTTTACCTTCCACTGCAGAGAGTGAAACCACTGATCCCTCAGGTAGCTGTTAGCAGCCTGCACAAACACAAACATTAACAGGTCAAATATTTAGCTTTACAGCTAATGTGACAGGTCAAACATTTAGCTTTACAGCTAATGTAACAGGTCACAAACATTTAGCTTTACAGCTAATGTAACAGGTCAAACATTTAGCTTTACAGCTAATGTAACAAGTCAAACATTTAGCTTTACAGCTAATGTAACA